GTCTTACCACTAGCTTAGTACTGGCATTTTAGACATTAGTCCTAGCATAGTACTACTCTTTGAAGCCTTGATACTAGCATAGTACTAATGTTTAGACCTTAGTACTAACCTTTCAACTTGGTACTAACATTGAAACTTGAGTACCAGCATAGTGCTAGCATAGTACTAGCACAGTACTAGCACAGTACTAGCATACACTGAATGAAACAATCAATAAATTGAGATGAAATATGATAAAGATAAAGAAGAAAAAGTTCAAATCTTTCTAGCATCTTCACTGCCAATTTGTGATAAAAGTATTTATAATTTTTATAACATCTTTTGTTATGAAAGATGATGAAAGAATTGAAAGGAGATTGGATGAAATATTAATGATCATTTCTTCAATCATTTTATACCCTTTCATATAAAACTATGATGAAAACTTTTATAATCCTTTTTTACTCTTTTTTGATCAAAGATGATTAAAATATGTCCATTTTCATATATTAAGCTAGTACTATGATATAGAGGTTAATACTTAGATCCAAATGTTAGTACTATCTCTTGAAGTCTTCATACTAGCATAGTATTGATCTCTACATCTTAGCATTAGCTTAAGACTGGCATTACTAGCTTAGCACTATGCTAGTACTAAGCTGGTGCAAACCTTCAGACTGTAGTACTAGCTTGATACTAGCATAGTACTAGCATTTGGACCTTAATACTAGCACAGTACTACTCTTTGAAGCCTTAGTACTAATATAGTACTAACCTCTAAATCTTGGTACTAATCTCCAGACCTTAGTACTAGCATTGTACTAGCATTCAGACTTTAGTACTAGCTTGGCACTAGCATAGTACTAGCGTTCAGACCTTAGTACTAACTTAGTACTAGCATAATACTAACATCTGAACTTTAGTACTAGGTTAGTGCTAGCATAGTACTAGCATTCAAATCTTAGTATCAGCATACTACTAACATTAGAATTTTGGTGTTACTCTTCTGACTATAGTACTAGTATAGTGCTAACTATATAAATCTGAGTATTAACCTTCATATCTTATTACTAGCTTAGTATATGAAAATAAGGGTGACATGGTCACAGTATTTTTATCATCTTTAATAAAAAAAAAAGAGTGAAAAAAGATTTTGAAAACTTTTTATCATAGTTTTGTATGAAACATCATAAAATGATCGAAGAAATGATTATTAATATTTAATTCAATCTTCTTTCAATCTTTTCATCATTTTTTACAATAAAAAATGTTAAAAGTATTATAAATACTGTTATCACAAATCAACAGTGAAGATGCTTAAAAGATTTGAACTTTTTCTTCAATATTTTTTACCATCTTTCACCTCAAATTATTTATTGTTTCATTCAGTGTAAGATAAAGCATATCAAGTATCTCATGAAGTTGCAGTTCTTCATTGCAGATGCTGAATGTGGTTGCATTATACAGCATGACACCATAAGCATTCATAAAATCTTGTCACACATTACGTTCATTTTTCACATGATCATGCCTACGTGCTGAACTTTTCTATTGCTTTTGAGAAGCTTATATCTCTATTGCAACACTGATAGTACAGACAGATTTTAACGTTGAGAGATTATCATTTAAGCATAGCAGAACAGGAACTATAAATATCTGTACCAAAGTTTTGCAGTAATAGAAAATGTAACAGAATCTGCACTATGCATCACAGTATAAACAACATTTTTCCATCTTTCATAGAGCATACACTTGGCTTTGCCTTGTTAGTGAGATTATTGAAAAGAACAGTTTGACCTGAATAATCGTTTCATTGCTCTGAATGATCTGTGAACATCTTTAACTATGGAGGAAAGGCTATCATGTGTTCATTAATAAGTAACTTTATTTTGTTTAAACTCAACTGGAGCTGAGTATATGATAAGCAATAAAAACATTTGTTTTTTTGTCCACTCTAGCCTTTCACATGATTAACACAATTGCCATTAGTAGAGATTTTTCACCATTGTCACTGCTCATAGCAAAACTGCCTTTATTCTTCTAACAGATATACACTTATACATGCTTGCTATTCTTTGATTTTTATCTGTGTCTATGAGGTTCTCAATGAAAAAAAGAATTCAGACTTCTCAATAATGTTAACTACCATCTGTCAGCAACTGTGATGCTCTGGTTCCTTCAGCAAAATAGTACCATTGATTATTAGTCTACTTTAACAATTTATGCATTGTCTTAGAAATATATATAGTGCCCTTTCATGATATGTGAAAGACATTGAATGCATTTCTAGTGACTTTCTTTGACACCTCTTTGCGTCATTTAGTATATTGACTGTATATATAGAGATATCCATAGAACTATGAATCTTCATACACTATGAGACAAACTGTTCAATGGCCCATGTATGTAGCACTGAAAAGGTGCTTTATACATAAGTAATGAGCACAAAATGCAGATACAATATGATGAGCATTGCTGTGCAAGATGAGTTTGAGATAATCATGCATTTGTTAAGGGCATGAATGCTCAAGAAGGTCATGTCAGAGATGGTTTATGTGAGTTGCATCTTATTATGTTGATTTCTTCAGATAGATTGTCTGATTCCAATTAAACATTATGTGGTATACAGCAGCTGATTAGATGAGATAGATGAGACTATCCATTGATTGTAAGTTGAGTGGTCCAAATGTGCACAGCAAAAATTTCTCGATCACTGAAAAGTCATCTTACATCTGACTTTATATTATAGCCATGTCAAATAACAAAGAAATGGAATATCACTCAATGTCAGAGTGGTTCACTGCTCATGGCATAATTAATTTGAGGATGTCATTTAGCAATACTCTACATGAAATATGTTAGAAAGGTCATGAGATAGATGTATTCATCCTCTTTGCAATGATGATCACCCATCCAATCATAATAAATGGCAAGGATGAATGAGTGAGCAAGTTGCGAGTGGATGACACAAATATACAGGTGTAAAAGAGACATTCAGATTTGATATCAAAAACTGATGTGTAAACTGAAGTATTTGAAGCACATGTATCAGAGCACCCTCTTGATGAAACATCCTGTGAATGAAGGAATTGCAACAACAAACATTTACTGATATCTATTCTCCATCAGATCATTGACCTTCTGATGTTTCTTAAATAACCAGGTCAACCTGCACTGTCTAAGAGCCTCAAAAAAACAAGCCATTTCAGATGAGTGATAGGCAGCACAAAGTCACTTCACTGAAAGGCCCACATATCAAGGGAGAGAATTCAACTAATTTGCATTGAGTCGAAGGTGATGAGAGTGCCACTTTTCAACTGTTGCAGAAGCTCTTGATGATGGGACAGGGGTTTTGACAATGAAGCAAGGAAGTCATGGAGAGATTGTTTATCTTTTCTCAGTTTGATGGCCACATAATAGATGATGTTGGAGTATGCCTGGTGGTCATGCATAGCATAGTCATTTCTGAACACATTGTGGATGTGCTCACATATTGTGCTATTAAAGTGACCACGAGACAACTTCTGTATGAGCATCTACAAGATAAACTCAAGCTTGTTCTCTAAGGCCATACAGAATGTTGAGATCATTTTATCTGTGGCAAATCCAGTTCTTTGCCAAAGTTGACATTAATAATGAGTTTGACAAATGGAGTGTCTGACAAGCATTATATCAGTAAAGGTGAGACTAACTCATGTGTGATTAAATATACCATCTATGAGTGGATTGATGTCATCCTGTTCACAGGCAAACCAATCATCATCTTCAGCCAAGCTATCTCAGTTATCAGCATCTGGTGAGCAGAATTGTTAAATCATATATTGCTCCAAATTTGGACAGACACACCTGCTGAGACATTATGGCCAGCTTTGGCAATATCTGTGAAATTGTTCATGGCTGTGCAGGTAGTGTCATCAGTGATATCTAATTTGTGATAAGATAGGTGAATACAATCATCAATAATTTATCTACATCAAACTAGTGAGCATTTAACCTTATAAGCATCACACCTGCAGTCATGTGTCTGAGTGGAGTTGACGTGGTCAGATTGGTGCACATAGACATAGCATATTTTGTACTGTCAGCAAGTGTTTAAAGGTGAACATTCTCAGACAATCAGTGCATCAGAATGACACTTGATGCCCATTTTTGGTTATTTGCATGATAAGCCTAAGATGTACTCCAATATTCTTGAACTGATTAAGGTTGATCTTGAAACCATGATACTGATTGGTGTGTAGTACCATAAAGTAGGCATTTCATTGGCTTTCTCAAGGTAGAATTCCTGAAGAGGTGTTCAATGCTGGAGTTCTTCCATCCACTGATGAAAGTTTGCTTCTTAAATGTAATGGTGAATTACAATGCATTATGGTTATTGATTCACTTAGCTAGTTTATAGACTTTTTAGGTATAAAAACTGATTATGTACATATTTAGCTAATTCTGTAGACAGTAAAATTGTCTTCACTCTCTACTCAGGCTCTTCTTCATTGAGCCAACACCAGTACATGAGCTTTACAGCCTCTCACTTTCCTGCTACATCTTTGAATCTCTATCTCATGCTCTAGCATCCTCATCTCTTATCCTTTGCCTGAACCATCTATTACACTGAAGTCTTTACCAGTGAAAAAATGCATAGCCTAACAGCTGAAAAACATGTTGATGTGATGTGATAAATGAGCAGACAGTGCAATATGGTGACATGAGAAAAGAAAGGTGCTAGATGAGCAGACAGTGAGACAGCCAATCAGATATCAAAAATCTGAAGTTAGTGTGCATGCACACACATATTATTCAATTTTTTTTGGCTCATTCCATGCACAGTGACTTGGGTAAGAGGGTCATTTCTGGCAGAAATGATTTCTGAGATCCTGATATTCTTCATAATTAATTGTATAAGTTTATTATAATATTGTCACAGATTTTCATGTTTTTTCATCTGCACATGACTAGGACATTACATAACATCAGCGCTAGGCTGTCCAGAAAGGAACGAACCAGTATGTGAAGTACTGACAGTCCTAGGTGCCCTGAAGGTCCAAGTCTAGTCACGTGACATATCACGTGAGATCCACACATGTGACAAGTAGCGCTGGTATTAGGTAAGCCTAACTTATACAGTAATATCATCCCACCTAGAAGCAATGGTCGGACTCCAGAAGAATCCAAGGACGGAGACACACGCCATCAGAGATATGTCCTTAAGGGGATATTAGTTCACATACACGAGGTAGATAGATACCACACCACCGCAGATGTAGCCATTACAGGCAATACCATTCCCATGATCTTACTAAGTAGTTCAGAGGTTCAGCATGCATGACACACATAGTCTGACAGGTAGTGGTAACCAATCAGACAATGTCTATTAGCTAGTGGTTCTGGGGTATCAGGGTACCAAGGGTCCCTCCGCTCATGTATATAAGCCAGAGCTCTGAGATGCATAAGTCCCCCAGACTTATTCTCATCTCTGCTACGCCTATCCATAAAGTGTCACCAGTGCCCACTTGCAAGACACTGCTTTACCTTGATCATCTTTTGTGTCCATCCTTACATCGACAACAGTCAGTAAGTGTTTGATCATAAGGTCATAGGCTTAGTCAGCACTCTGCGTCCTAAGTTTGTGATAGAAGAATAAGTCTGCTTATCTTACCTGCCTCGAGTGCCCACCCAGCGTACTCGCACGTCCACCTGCATGTTAGCGGTGTCATATCTTCACCTGATGCTCCATCAGTTGCCGACTCTACCAGCGTAAGCCACACCAAGGCATTGCGTAGCATTGACGGTGTCATCCATCATTCTCGAGCAAGAACTCTAGAAGAGTTCTACGAGCAGCGGCCCATATGACCCCTGCCAAGGCCAGGACACATTTCTACTGAAGGTCGGCCCCCTCGTGGCACAAGTTCAGTTTCTATTATTCAGACTCCCTCAGTCAGGCGACTGAGTCTACCTGCAGGACCATCTGGTCCAGATCTCAATCAAGGGACATACATTGAGACCACTACTGGATCTCATTTCATCTATCCTCTCGCCATCTCCATCATCTCGACTCAGCGCGTCGAAGGCACCCTTCGACAGATTTGTATCCTACTCACCAAACGGTACCATCATCAGCTTGACGATCACGACATCTTCGACCTCGAGCATCTCATACTCAAGCTCGAATCCATCTGCACTGACATCGCAGAATTCAAGCTTTCCTTCGTTCACCAACACGTGGTTCGCGACTTCTGCAACTACCTTTAGGAGAGGAAGCATCAGGGTGGAGAAGCTCACTGGATAATCAGAGATATTATCCAGAAATATCGTCTAGGAATACAGGTCACAGGGTGACCTTTGCTGTAGATACAAATAGTTACTTTGTATATGTCTTCATCTGGTGAATCGAACAATCTTGATAACTTCGAGCACCTCAATCCAATCGGTCACACTTTTGACTATCCTTGGGATTCAATTCCACGAGTTCTCCAGGACAGAGCAGGTGAAGCGTTTGCTACATACGAGGATACGTTTCACATCGAATGACGTATATCATATATACGCCCTTCAAATCTATCCAGAATTTGATTGGAGGAATGTCACAGTTCATATCTGCTATATCCCTATTGGAACTGAAGAACCTGAAGATCATCTCACTGAAGCTTACAATAGCTTCGTCGATTGGCTCGAAGAAGTCGAGCATATTTGCGAAATTTATCATAATCACCAGTGGCCCGCAGTCAGGGACAAAACTAGGTTTTTGTGGCAACCCTTCGTCAAGGTCATATACCAAGACCTTTATTTGCTGCAAAACCAGCGCTCAGGACGAGTAATTGCCCGATCAGCCACGATCACAAATAGACATATCATCGAGTTTGAAGAACATCTTCACGAAGTAGAGGAGGAATTGTAATATGGTGACCCCCACCCCAAATGATCCAAGCTTCTCTCGTGCTCCATCTCCGGAGCTTTCCGCATGACTCAATATCATTTTACAACCACCTAATCCTATTGTTCAGCAAGCTCTCGCCAACACCGCATCCCCCACTGCCCAAATACCCAACGATGTCAAAAATTGGGTAGTCGATCTCGTCACCAATGTGGTGGAGCAAATGCGACAACAAACTGTTGTGCATTATGAACTGCTAATTAATCAACAAGCAGAACGCACTCAACAAAGCACCACCGAATTCCACAATTGCACGGTCTTCTTAGATCAACATCGCCAACAATCTGAGTCTCAAATCTCAGACTTGAAGAAAACCTCATCAGCTTTAACTGAGGATAACAAGGCCATTAATGAATCATTGGTGGCATTTGACGATGAAGTCAAGGATCTCCAAACAAGGACCGAAAATTTAAAGAAATCACATGATTGACTTCACGCATGGGCATCTATGCAGGGAAGGAAGGCAGGGCAAGGTGGTAACAATGTCGACGACATGGACGATGGTGATGAGCCATCGTTTGGTTGCAAGGCTAAAGGCGTAAAAATTGACCAGCCAAAAAAATATGGCGACAATAAGGACGGAGTCAATCTCGATGATTGGCTCGAACAAGTAATGCTTTGGTTGAAATATACTGGACATACCAAAGACGAGTCCAAAATTATGTCTACCCTCTTGCTCCTGAAAGGAGGAGCACGCGAATACATGCGACATTGGATTACAGAGATAAACGAACACAATAAGGCACCAGGAACTTGGGCAGAGTTCGTAGCTGAACTTCGCATGGCATATGAATCATTGGACAAGGACGATAAGAAGCGAACGGAGTTAGAAGCCTTCGTCAAGAAGGATCATCGAGACTTCCGAAAGTTCGCAGAAGACTTTTGTCCAAAGGCAACCGGTACAGGCTTCTTAGATCAAGACTTGATCGAAAAGATCAAGAAACATATTCCAGAGAAAACGTGGCTGCTCATGCTGGCAGACACGACCAAGGACAACTGGCTCAAGAAATGGACCGAGTTCCTTACATTCGCACTTCGGATATTCACATCACTACAACGAGAAGGCCACCATGCCAAGGCCAAAACCAAGGACCCAAATGCTATGGAGGTTGATGCAGTCAGGAAGAAGGAGAAGAGTAAATCGGGCAAAGCACGAAGCGTACAAGATGATAAGTTGGTTTGTGCCAACTGCAAGAAGAACAAACCCACATTCTTCAAATCATCAAAACGTTTCAGCAAGTATTGCACCGATTGTTTCAAATTGGACCATGTCAAGAGGCAGATCGAGAAGGAGAAAGAGACAGCTGCAAAGAAGAAGGACGGGAAGAAAAAGAACGATGACAAGAAGAAGTCAAAGTCATCCAAGACGTGACAGGTGGTATCTGATTCCGCTTCATCAGATGCAGAGAGCGAAAGCTCTGACACCAAAGAAGAAGAAAAGAAGTCAAAGAAGAAGAGCTCTTCCTCTAAGACTAAGGAGAAGAGTAAGGAGACAGCTGCGCATATCAGCGACTGCAGCATCCACTCAGAAAGTGAGCCTGATGCATCTGAGTTGGACGAAGATTTTGCCATGATCCTCTCAAGGCTCAGGTGTCTGAGGGCAAATGGATCCATTCCATCAAGGAAGGCAGGAGAAGGCTCTTCACAAAGAGATCAGAAGGGTTTTCAAAGGGGATCTGTAGGCAGCTCGTCAGAGTCTCCAGAACATTATATAAGACCTGTACATTTAGCACCCAGATCAGACATCTCTGTAGATCATCGCAACGCAGAGGATGATAATGTAACAATAAAGAATTCTTCTCCAAATTTATCATCATTCTATTTACCAGTTACATTATGGGTGTATGGCAAAAAATCGAGTGCCGAAGCTTTAGTCGACTCAGGAGCATATTTCATGTATATCAGCAAGCGATTCGTAAAAAAACAATCGAATCGCGACCTCCAAGCTTAATATGACGTACAAAGTGTACAATGCTGATGGATCTCAAAACAAATATGGCAAAATAACTGACTATGTAAAAGCATATTTCAAAGTCAGAGATCATGGTTCCACCCGCCGTCTGCTAGTCACGGACATCGGAAAACTAGACATGATCATTGGAATGTTATATTTATGTCAGCATAATCCAGAAATCAACTGGCAAGCTGGAGAATGGAAATACTCACGATGCTCGAGTACGTGTCACCACCAGAGGCTTCATAAAAAAATAACAAGCCATTGCGAGAGAGGAAGCTGAAGAAATCTCGCAACGAGCACAACAAGTGGCAGAAGAGGAGCCAACTGCATTCAGAATGTTTAATGGACACAACATTGATGCAGTAAATCCTATAATCTCGTGGGTCAAGATGGACGATCCCGAAGCTGAACAAATAGCCCGCATGATACTTTCTATAGCAGATTGCAGCTATGCTGAACCAGAAGAAGATCTGAAAGGAGCGGTACCCCAGTCAGACACTGGCAGCCCAGGAGATCAGGTTATTAATGAAGTAGAATCTTGGGAAAAATTAGTACCAGATTATCTACATTTATTCGGTGATGTCTTCTTCAAGAAAGCATCTGAAAGAATGCTAACTCGAAAGCCTTATGATCATGCAATCGAGTTTGAAGAAGAACATGAATTACCATGACCAAGCAAACTCTATCCTATGAATCCTGAGGAAAGAAATTCCCTAGATTCATGGATCGATGAAAATCTAGCAAAAGGCTACATTCGAAAGTCAAAATCACCTATTGCTGCCCCGGTATTCTTTGTCAAAAAGAAAGATGGCACTCTAAGACTGGTCCAAGACTACCAAAAACTTAATGCTATAACCAAGAAGAATCGCTTCCCTATTTCACGAATAAGCGAGCTTATCGATCAGCTCAGTAACGCGTCAATATTCACCAAGCTGGATCTCAGATGGGGATATAATAATGTTTGCATCCGCAAGGGTGACGAATGGAAAACAGCTTTTGTGATGCATCACGGTTTATATGAGGCCACGGTTATGTTTTTCAGTTTCTGTAACGCACCAGCCACCTTCCAACACATGATGAATGAGATTTTAGATGATCTTATTCATGAAGGCCATGTGATCATCTACCTCGATGATATTCTAATCTTCACCAATAATCTGAAACAACATCAGAAGATTACCAAAGAGGTAATTAAAAGATTACGGGACAACGACCTTTTTGCCAAACCAGAAAAGTGCTTTTTTGAACAACCTTCGATTGAGTACTTAGGGATGATCATCTCTAAAGGCAAGGTTCGTATGAATCCTCAAAAGGTCACCGGTGTACTCGACTGGCCTGAACCCAAAAAGGTTAAGCAAGTACAAGCTTTTCTTGGGTTCGCTAACTTCTATCGTCGATTCATTGAAGGATTTGCCAAAAAGTCTCGACCACTCAATATCCTTACACAAAAGGATCAGAAATGGATATGGGGCAAAGAAACAACAACAGGCATTTAACGCTCTCAAAAATGCCTTTACTTCAGCTCCAATTCTGGCATTATTGGATGATACTCATCCATTCTGGTTAGAAACGGATTCCAGTAATTTTGCCACTGGTGCATGCCTGGAACAACTCAAAGACGATGGGTTGTGACATCCAATCGCATTCTATTCAAAAAGCCTCAATGAGGCTGAGCGGAACTATGAAATCTATGACAAAGAGATGCTCGCAATTATTCGAGCATTAGAAGAATACCGACAATATCTCGAAGGTCATCTGCTCCCGGTAAAAATTTGGTCCGATCATCAGAATTTAACCTATTTCAAATCAGCACAAAAGTTGACGAGATGGCAAGCTCGATGGTCACTATATCTTACACAGTTCAACAAACAACTACATCACAAATCAGGGAAATCAATGCATCATGCTGATCCTCTGTCCAGGAGGCCAGATCATGAAGAGGGGGTAAATCTCGATAATTCTGACAAGACTCTGCTCAAACTGGAATATTTCACGATTAAAGCTATTCAACATACCCATCTCGCAGTCATCACAGATCATGATTTGGTGGACAAGATCAAGGAATCACTACAAGACGACAATGTGAACAGATTATATCAAGACCTACTCAAGAAAGGACAACGAGAGTTCTCGAAAGGACTCGAAGACTGGAACTTCGAAAGTGGGATATTACTATACCGAGGCAAAGTCTATGTGCCAAAAGCAGATAATAAGGAATCACTTAGATGAGAAATTGTCCAGCGTCATTATGAAGCTGCCAGTGCAGGTCATCCTGGAAGATGGAAGACATATGAGATGTTATCTCGTAATTACTGGTGGCCGGGAATGTCCACTTACGTCAAAAAGTATGTTGGTTCTTGTGACCTTTGTCAACGCAACAAGAACATCAATCAGCCAAAATATGGAGAATTACAGCCAAATGAGGTTCCAACAGAACCTTGAGAAATTGTCTCTGTCGATTAAATTACTCAATTACCAGAATCTCATGGATTCAATGCAATTATGGTAGTTGTCGATCGTTTGACCAAATGAGCACATTTCTTTGCAATCACTAATGAGTTCTCAGCATCAGACCTTGCTCATACTTTCTATGAGAGGGTGTGGACACAGCATGGTCTTCCGAGACAGATTATCTCAGATAGAGGTACTCAGTTTGCAAGTGCATTGTTCCAGAAAGTATGCAAACTCCCTGGGATACAATCAACAATGTCTTCGGCAAGAACAAATCAGTCGCTAGAGCAATATCTTCGTATTTATACTGATAAATGCGTGGAAGACTGGAGTACATTACTTCCAACTGCCGAATTTGTCTATAACAATCAGGCTTCTGAAGCCACTAAGAATTCACCATTCTTTGTCAAATACAGTAGACATCCACGTGCAGAACCAACGATAATGGACTCCATAAAGCATAATACGCTAGATTCCATAATGCAGGCATGAGTAGAAGTGCAAGAGCAAGCGAAGGCAGCCATTCTATTAGCAGCTGAGCGCATGAAGTGGTATTACGATCAATCCGTACGACCCACACCTTTCAAAGTTGGAGATCAAGTATTACTCTCCACTAAAGATTGGCAAACATCGGGAGCCAAACTGACACAATGGAGAGATGGACCCTTCGAAATCGTAGAAAAACTAGGACCAGTCACATACAGACTCAAAATGCCGTGACAATACAGCGTTCATCCAGTTTTTCATGCATCCAAGCTCGTGCTCTACCATGAAGATGAAATATCAGGCCGCACCTTCAGACCTCATTTTTCTATCAAAAAGAAGACTGGCGAAGAATGGAAAGTCGAGTATATAGTCGACTCTCGTGTCATTTGTGGCAAACTTCAATATTTGGTGCATTGGAAGGGTTATTCCAAAGCTGAAGAAACTTGGAAACCCGCTGCCAATTCGAAGAAATCTCCGTGTCTCATTAAGAAATTTCACAAAAAAATCCTGACGCACCGCAACCAATATCTCTCATTGATACAACTCCGGTCGATGGCATTTTTCCATCCAGAAGAACAGGTCAAGTCTATGACCCCGCCACTGATACCATTCAGATATATGATCAGGATAGAGATGATTGGGATCATTCTAGAGATTTTCAAATTACATTAGACAAGCCAAATGCACGAGCACCAAAATATGTCCATGAAGATGATGCTGGAATGGATTTAGCCACATCTGAACCCACAACCATCCGAGCACATTCAAGAGGATTGGTAACCACAGGACTTCACTTTACAACACCTCGAGGGACCTATGGTCGAATTGCGCCACGAAGTGGGTTAGCTGTCAAAGGCATCGACATAGGCGCTGATGTAATCGACAGAGGATACACAGGTGAAATCAAGATTTTGCTAATCAATAATACAAACGATGACTTCACAGTTAATTTGGGCGATCGAGTCGCTCAACTTATCATTGAACGTATTATCACCCCTGTCATTTCACTGGTTGACTACCTCAAACCCTCAGCTCGAGGACCGTGGATTTGGTTTAACAGGCGATAATTATTTTCAGAAATCATGCAAAAAGCCAGATTCGGGACGAACTGTCTAGAAGGGGGGGTACTGTCACAGATTTTCACGTTTTTTCATCTGCATGTGACTAGGACATTACATAACACCAGCGCTAGACTGTCCAGAAAGGAACGAACTGGTACACGAAGTACTGACAGTCCTAGGTGCCTCGAAGGTCCAAGTCTAGTCACGTGACATATCACATGAGATCCACACATGTGACAAGTAGTGCTGGTATTAGGTAAGCCTAACTTATACAGTAATATCATCCCACCTAGAAGCAACGGTCAGACTCTGGAAGAATCCTAGGATGGAGACACACGCCATCAGAGATATGTCCTTAAGGGGATATTAGTTCACATACACGAGATAGATAGATACCACGCCACCAGAGATGTAGCCATTACAGGCAATACCATTCCCATGATCTTACTAAGTAGTTCAGAGGTTCAGCATGCATGACACACATAGTCTGACAGGTAGTGGTAACCAATCAGACAATGTCCATTAGCTAGTGGTTCTGGGGTATCAGGGTACCAAGGGTCCCTCCGGTCATGTATATAAGCCAGAGCTCTGAGACGCATAAGTCCCCCAGACTTATTCTCATCTCTGCTACACCTATCCATAAAGTGTCACCAGCGTCCACTTGCAAGACACTGCTTTACCTTGATCATCTTTTGTGTCCATCCTTACATCGACAACAGTCAGCAAGTGTTTGATCATAAGGTCATAGGCTTAGTCAGCGCTCTGCGTCCTAAGTTTGTGATAAATATTCACCACATTGATTGAGAGGTATATATTGTTATTCACATTAAAATATCAGTCTCTTTGACAAAGATCAAGAATGGTGTGATTGTTCAAGATGCAGCTGTTTTTAGAGTAACATAATATGATGACAAAGAAGACAGTTGAAAGGTGATAGTGTGTGACAGACTGTGTTTTCATTACTGATGGTGAGGTTCAGCAGAGTTTAATGTAGATTGCCATAGAGCTTAATCTATCATGTGCTTTATTGAGGTGAGTAGGTTGTGCCATCTTCAAAGGGTCTTCTAATGTTAAAGTATTACCTGTAACAATTCTGTCATTGTACCGCATTTGACCATTCATGTCAACAATCCTTGCAGTGAAGTGAAACCCATCAAAATAGATAATATCACACAAGCCATATTTTGTGCCTTGTTCTTCAATGTACACAGCAGAATCTAGCTGAATTTGCTTCTGATTTGTTATAAATGCTAAGAAGTTAGGATTATTGGCAAATACATACATATTTTCTGATCAGTTTTTCATGGCAGCTTTGGCATGTGAAGTAAGTCTTTTTAGAAAAAAGGGGTTGCAGCCACTCTGAAAATTTTTTAAACGACCTAACTTGTTAGAGGACTCTTTAGAGTAATAAACTGCAGTTCCATAAATAAATGAAAGCATCTTCTGCATTCATGACCACATTGTAGTGGTGATAATGAAGGTGAATGATAACATTAGAAGATGAAGACTGAAAGACAGCAGAACACAAGCTTTAGATATCTGTGTCATCTTTTTCAGTGATATATAATGCTGCAGGGTCTGCAATATTTAAAATGTAGAAGAGCTTTTCATTATCTGAAACTTGGTTGAGGCCACCATTCAGAGCCCTCAAGCCCTCTGATGCCCTTTCTGGACATTCAATTCCCCTCTCACAATGTCATGAACCTTTGTAGTACTGCATAATTTGAGCTGTGTCAAAATATCAAAGTGACCTCAGAAGAGCTTTTCATTATCTTAAACTTGGTTTGCAAATCCTGGGTGGATGGCATATTTATAGATCCTGTAGCCCTCACAATTATTCACTCTTTTAAGCTGAAAGTCTGCTATAGATAGATATAATCACACTCACCATGTTCATTGAGTATATTGCATAGTATGTATGCTTTTGATCAAACACTGATGCACTATACAAATCATAATCTGAAACATCAAACATAGCACAGGTAGAACTTGTCTGGCTCAACATATTCAGATATGCTATATCGTCAAAATAATGAAAGATCACTCATAATGTGGAGCTGTATAGTTTGGACAGAAATGAGATATACTTGTAAGACTGATGGCAAGATGGATCTGACCTTTATGCTAGTATTTTTGAGAAATGAGCTTCACAGTGGCTTGGAGCATGACAGCAAAAGTAAAGGAGATGGTGTTTCAGCAAGATAATAATCTCAAGCATGACTTAGCTGACTTAAAGAAAGAATACTACTAAGACTATAATATGACATAATCAATTATGAAAGCTTAATTTCATATATCATCTTTGAAGTTATTTTACAAATGATTGGCAAGGCATGAGGAGCCACTCAAACAGATTACAGAATTGTGAAAGCAATTGAAAAAGAAATGAAAGAGTATTGACAGGTTTGTGAATCAGAGCTTGATCAAAAGTTTATCTAAATGGGTTAAGGCAGTGCTTATGGCACAGGGTTGATTAATTGAGAACTAGAGTTTTCACATTTGGAGGCTTTGAATCATTAGTGATACAAGTGTGTAAATGAATAGGTCTGATAGAATTGCATATATCTTTAGAACATAGCATAAATATTTTCTCAACAGATACTCATTCAAAAGCTGAGAAGAATGGCTTTTTAATGTAATTATTTTCAATTATTTAATGGCCTTTTAAATTAAATTTTTTTCATTTTTCTTTTATCAAAAATGATAAACATATTGTGACCATGTCACATCATTATCATTTGACACTAAGCCAATATTAGAATATTAGGATCTAAAGGTTAATACTCAGATTCAGATGTTAGTACTATCTTTTAAAGCTAGTATTGATCTTCAGATCTTAGCACTAGCATAGTAATAGCACAATACTTGCATATAGACCTTAGTACTAGTATAGTAATAGCACAATACTAGCATATAGACCTTAGTACTAACTGTCAGATCTTAGTTTTAGCTTAGTGCTAGCACAATACTAACGTTGACATCTTAGTGCTAACCTTCACATCTGAGTACTAGCTTAGTACTAGCATTTACTAGCATAGTATTAACATTCATCTGCAACTTTAATATACTATGAGTGGCTATAATGCACTATAGAGCACTACTAGCCTACATATTGTCTCATAATATATTGATGATTGCATATGCTCAATCTTTAGTACTGACCTTCAAACCTTAGTACTAACATTTGAACCTTAGTACTGATTTTTGAATCTAAATATTAGCATGCTGCTAAGATTAATGTCTTAGTATAGTACTAGTATAGTGCTAATATAATAACTTGAGTTTAACCTTCATATCTTAGTGCTAAATGATGACAAGAATGTGATACTAACATTTAAACCTGAGTACCAGCATAGTGCTAGCATAGTACTAGCACAGTACTAGCATTCACTGAATGAAACAATTAATAAATTGAGATGAAATATGATAAAGATAAAGAAGAAAAAGTTTAAATCTTTCTAGCATCTTCACTGTCAATTTGTGATAAAAGTATTTAAACACCTTTTACTGTGAAAGATGATAAAAAGACTGAAAGGAGATTGGATGAAATATTAATAATCATTTCTTCAATTATTTGACAACCTTTCATACAAAACTAGGATAAAATGTTTTAAAATCTTTTTTTCGCTCTTTTTTGATTAAAGATGATGAAGATATTGTGACTATATCACATCCTTATTTATATAGTAAGCTAGTACTAAGATATAGAGGTTAATACTCAGGTTTATATGTTAGCGCTATACTAGTATTAAGGTCTGAAGGTTGGTACTATGCTAGCACTAAGCTAGTACTAAAGTTCAAATGTTAGTACTTATTATGAAGCATTTCCCGTAAACCTTCCTGATCACGTGTGCTTTCTCACATGCACTAGTCCACTCTGCAGTGGACAAAGACCTAAGTATAAGATGTATACTGAGTCTTCAATAGTCAACCTGACTATAATGATGTTTATAGTAGTGTCTGTGACTCTAGTCATGAGGTAGCAGTGTGGTTCTTCACTCTACCCTTGCTAGGTCTCACTGAGCAGCTACTCACAGGAGACATGGTGCCATTTTCAAGCATATAATATGCTTAGCAAATAATAATTAGATAGTCAGATTCTAGTTCATTATTTGTATTGATTTAATTTGTCTAGTAAAATTAACATTTGAGGCCATACATGGGATTGTGCAAAATTCTACAGGCCAAATTCAAACTTTACAGAATGCACATAGTCACAAATATGGAAATATAAATGTCAACCCCCGCCAATCCATTATGTTGAATTTCTTATGAGAAGTATAATACTCTCAAACTATGGTTTGTAATATACCACAGTTTCATATTGGCTATCATATTCTAGATTTGCAGTGGCACATGTAATGTCCACTTTTTATTGTTAAAGGTTGACTATCTAATTAACATTTGTCACAGCATATAGCATGCTCGAAAATACCTCCATGTCTCTAGTGACTGCACATTCACTCACAGGTTACTAGATTTGCTGATTAGACTCTAGACAAGTGCATGAGCTTAAACACCCCTTGAGAGAGAGTGCAAATTTCAACTGATCTCGATGATCAGAAGTATCAAGTGACTCCTTAGGAATGAGGTTCTAGTGCAGAGAACGGGGTTCTTAGAAATAAGGAGGAAGAGATTAGTCTTCTTCTGCTGTTCTGTGCCTCTTATATAGTCACAGACCTATAGTCTGGGGTACTAGTACAAGGGGCCTCTGTATAGCTAAATATAGAGAAATCACAATCACATTACTAACTGCTGCGAGCCAGATAATTGGTGAGCTAATGTTAGTACAAGGTGAAACACATACTGAGATCTGGATCGCAGATGCTAGAGTGAGTCTAATCATGAAAACGAAAAACTGCTAACTCTAGAATATGTCCTCAAGACCTATGAATCATAAATATCACATAACTGTAAAAGAGATGCTGAAACTGTAACACAAGCTCTCCTCTTTAACTGGCAAGACCCTTGACAATTCACTCACCAACCAGATCCCCTTGAATGACCCTCTCACACATACAGTCTGCTGTAGACCAGAATGATAGTGTGGTCAGGCATGACCTCCCTTTCATCATCTTCCTCACCTCAGACTTGTTAGAAACTGATAGATTGCCAGTGCAAGATGGAGCTATCTTGATGATAGACAGGCTCGAGTTAATCTATACCATCAGTCAGCCATTCTGGATGCTCAATCATCATGACAAGGGGCTGATAGGTGACTGACGTGAACTCATAAGATGTCTTGGTGTCACTGTAGGTGACCTGGTCGAAGAACATCCTAAACCACTCAACCTCATATTGCTTCACACCCTCCTCCTTTTTGACAAAATGGACACTGATGATGCATGTGCAATCAAAAATAGAATGCCAGTCATGCATGCCAGGGAGTGGAGGTGGATACTGAAGAGTGACCCATTGGCTGAAGACTCGATGAGGTGAGTCTTCTGCATAGAGATGTCAAGCGACCTTCAGGTTATCCCAGATGAAGATGAAGGTGTGAAAGGTGGTGAAGTCACTAGTGCCAGTCTGATGCATATAGAGCCAGTGGCCATCACACTCCATCATGAAGGTAAGCAGCATGGTGATGTAGATATTGTAGGGTGTCACAATGTCAGGAGCGATGAGTGAGACCTGTCTAGCCTCAGGGTGGATCGAGAGCTTAGCTTCTTGAGTATATTTTATTTGCTCATGGATAATGTCAGCTGATGCTGGTGAGAATCCATCCTCAGGTACGTGGTTGTAGGGGCAGGTCAGCTGTTCATCATCAGCATGACCTGCCTATTTTTCATCCACAGAGCTCCCTCAGCCACTTCTCATTTTCCAGTCACCTTCTGTCATCCATCATCCTACTGGTTTAGCTTCTTCATCCTCCCATCATCGATACTCCCTCCATGAAGCTACAACTGCTTCATCACTGATGTCATTCAGGGAAAGATGCTTTTCTCTGTCACTGTTGAGATCTTCAAGTCAGGCTGGCTCTAACGTGCTGTAAATGGTGGTGGTGACATGAATGTTGAGAGACATTGATGGAGGAGGTAGAGTGATGTGATTCTCTTTGTCTCAAGAATAGATCTCTTCGTAGAGTAGGAGGAGGTGATGGTCCAGTAGAGGGAAGAGAGGACCATGGCTTATATCTAAAATCAGATGCTCCTCTCCTCTTGTTCATACCAGTCCATAGATCACATGTTGGCCATTCTAGGGCAGTCTTCTGGTAGGATTGCCATAACCCTGGATATGGTAGAGTGGACCATGCTGAATGCATCTAGAGCAAATGAAAGGAATGTCAGCAGAATATCAAAATGAAGCAGATGCTCTATATCATATGAAGGTGGGGGTGTTTTCACACTGAGTCAGTCATAGACTGCTGTCAGAATGGTTCTGCACTGATCTGGGTCGAGCTTGGGAAGGTCAAGTTCTTTTGTGAGGTACATTGGGTAATTTATTTGCATGAACATTTCCCATGTTTCATCTAGGTTGATATCGATGTCATCCTTGAGTGTTACCTTGGGTCTATTCACTTGGAATGGGAATGGGTAAGGAATGCTGATCATTCCATTGGCTCAAGGTGTTAGATACAGTTGCTGTCATGTTGTCTTGTATCTGTTGATCAGGCAGAGGTGGTGAACTTCATCTGCAGCTTAGAGGAGCAGCACCATGCAGTCTCAGATGGATTGTGTTACTGTATATTCAATGTTGGCATGGTCAAAGTTGGCAAGATCCTGGAGGGTGTACTCAATTTCTCTAATGGTGAGGTAGATGCAGAATTGCTGAATGACCTGGTACTGATGATCATGGGAGGAGTAGGCATGGACTTCATTGAGAAGCTCAGTGATTCTAGTGAAAAAGTCGATAGCAGTCTTGAGATACTCGGGGTGCTGCATGGGCATTAAGAACTGAGGGTTCAGGCCAAGTCATGCTCCTTTTTATACTCTTACAGAAGCTCACTAGCATTGCCCATTTCAGTTTTCTTTATCCATGATTTTAGCTCAGTGAATATCCTGCCCACTTAACCAGATATTCATTCTTGCTGCATCAGGCTCAGTGTCACATTATGGACTTGATTTCAAATTCTTCTTCTCCTTCGATAAGATCTGGAGGTGGTGTTGAATAACTATCCCATGTGTGCTAGTCTGCTGATAAGGCATGAGAAGCACAGCATGAAACACTGAATGGATCTTCCATGATGTGGAAAGGTCTAATTTAAATGGGAGAGATTCCAGAGCTTCCTTGATTCAGAAAGATCCTTCTCATTTCAGTGCTAGCTTGTTCAATTTATAAGGTCTTTTCAAATTAGCAGCTTCTAGCCGGACCTTGTCTTCTTTCTTGAATGTCAGAGATTCTGTTGTGGTTCTTGCTGATACGTGGGCTTTTGCCTTGATGATTCCTTCTGTGACCTCCTTGCAAATAGTGCTGAGAAGCTTGAGTTGCATATCAATGTCAGAAGTCTCATTCTGTGAGAATAGCTCTGGCATTCTCCGTGGTTCATATCCATACCAGATTTCAAAAGGTGACTTCTTTGTCACTGATGGGTATGGAGATTATGTGCAAATTCTGCTTCAGATAGGAATTGATTCACTGTTATGGTTGTTCAGCACAATACATTCAGAGAGATGTCTCCAGTTCTTGATTCATTCGCTCCATTTCACTGTCCATCTGTGGATGGTAGGCTGTGCTCATAGCTGACTTGATTTTAAGGGCTTTGCATAGTGCTTGGAAAACCTTGGATGCAAATTGTGTTCTAGTGAAAGAACGGGTCTTAGAAACAAGGAGGAAGAGGTTGGTCTTCTCTCCGTGATCTGTGCCCCTTATATAGTTGCAGACCTATAGTCTGGGGTACTAGTACAGGGGGTTCCACTATCCTAAAGATAGATAAAACACCAGAGCTTAGCTGCTGCAAGCCAGGTAATTGGTGAGCTAAGAAAAGCATAGGTGAAATAGAAAACCTAGAACGAAGTCTGGATTGCAAATGCCAGAGTGAGTCTAATCATGAAAACGAAAAACTGCTAACCCTAGAATATGTCCATCAGACTTATGAACCATAAATTGTAAGTGTCACGTGACCATGAAGTGCTGAAACTGTAACACTATGTCGCATAAAGTAGATCATCAAGAGAACAAGTATGTGCTCTGCTCCTGGATCACCACTGCATGTCATGTCCCAAACTCTTTTCAGTATTTACATCTAAGATCACATTAACAAGCACAGAATGATCTCAAAAAACTCAACTCAAGATGAAGAAGACAAAGATGGTCAGATTTCCTCCATCTCCTCTGATGGAAGATCTGTCCGCTCAAATGATCAATGACTTTTGTGAAGACATCAACAAGGACAAATTCTTGAAATCTGCTTGTGCTGTGTGTGGTCAATTGCATCTCACTTCAACTCTCTTCAAACTGTCAGATTGTGACGTAGACCTCCGAATACTAATGCCCACTACATAAGCAATGACCAGAAAGGAGCGAGAAAGTATCCAAGATCCAATAGCGGAGCTGAAAGGACCAGTTGTGCTACCGACTTGCGATCACGTTTATGCAGAATGTCTACGTGATCTTGAAAAAGGTTCACTCTCGACGGATGCTCTAGCTAATGGTCTTTGGATTGGAGAGATGTCTTTTCAATTGCGAGACCTAACCTGGTGTGAAAAAATGCTTACATCAAGGGTCAAGCACAACTACTGCATAATTCAGGTCAAGGTATCAGGTATGTGGAAAATGTGTGCCAATGCCATATGCCATTCTGTGCCAATGCTCAAGATTTACTGAGGCTTGCCTCCTAGCCAGGAATAGCTTGACGAAGTCCTCGCATTCATATATATCGGATCTTGCAAACCTATAGGTAAAGAATTTGCCAGGACACCATTTTTAGTAAGGCGTAACAAGGTTACTAAAGCATTGGAGTGGTTAAAGCTAAACCACGAAGATTACATGAACTTAAACATCTCATATGAGAATCTCAATGCCTACTCAGAGAATGTTCCTCCTGTGATCATAGACTATCATGATGGATATATGAACAAGGCTCCAGAAGCTACTGCGGTTAACAATGTGAATCTGGATAAAGGTATCGTGAAAGGTTCCTGTCCATTCACCGTTCACAGGCTCACTGGAGATGCCTACGTCAACCTCTTGGCAGATGATTATCAATCAATAAGGGCAAAGGCTATTCATCAGTTCAAAAAGAGCAAGATTCTGGGTGTTGGTCAAGAACAAAATCCTCAAAGCTTATATCATAACTCTCAACTGTATCCTCAAATGTTTCCCTGGCTATTTCTATATGGCTTGAGAGGCCTAAACAATGATTGTGGATCAAAATGGGTGTCCGAGTCCAAAAGAAAGCAACAGTTGCTTATGTATCATGATAAGTGTTTTCAACTGGAACCTTATTTTCCTCTCATCACCTACAACTACGAACAGATTAAAAATGCGACCATCACCGGGTTTTTGCTCATCAAAAAACAAAATTTTCATGAGATTGCGAACAAAATCGTCAACTTGCCTTTGTCCACTCTGGAAAGTCTGATAACCTGACTCGCAAATGGTCCCATAAAGCCTGAGAGTGATGAAGAGAAGGAGTGTTTCAAAATTATCAATGACTTGAACCATATCGCAGCCAAAGTGCAAGGATCTTTGACGAACCAAAAGTGAATGTGAAATAAAATATGGGCACTGACATCTTATCTGGGTGCACCTTCTTGGTTCATCACCTTTGCCCCAGCAGATATCAATCACCCCATTGCACTTTATTTTGCTGACACAAAACAAGAGATCATACTGGAGTTTCATACCAACAATGAACACTGGCAGCTTATTGCGTCTAATTCAATTGCAGGTGCTCACTTTTTCAAATTCATGGTTGAGCTGTTCATAAAACATGTCCTAGATGTGAATCAGACCCACTGAGATATATATGGAGAGACCACTGCCTACTATGAAACGGTTGAATAGCAAGAATGCCTAATGTTGCACATGCATATGATGATATAGATTAAGAACTGTTTAAGTTCTCAGCAGATCCAACAAAGAATTCTTAATCACAACTCCAGTTTTCAGAGAGAGATAGTAGAATGCCTTGAGAGTGTACATGTAGGAGAATTTCAGAACAGAACAATGGAGAACATTTACCAGCACATCAATAAGTTGAATGCAAAGGAAGGACACGTTCCCCCTACACTTACCCTGCCCAGACCTGTGCCTGTTCGATGTACAGAAAAAAAACTGCCACGACTGTCAAAAGTGCACCACCTGGAAAAAAATGATGGAATGAACAGTCTCTTGAGGTGGATGAGCTCATTTATCTCTCAAATCATCATCGATGTCTTCAAGGATGCAAGGATAACAAGTATGAGACCTGCAAGGTCCATTTCCCTTGAACAACTTATACAGAAACCATGATCAATCCTGAAACAGGAGCTCTCAATATGAAGAAGGGTGAAGCGTAGATTAACACACTCACACCAGTAGTTATGTATCTTCTTTAATGCAACACGGACATCACAAGTCTTATGTCAGGAACTGCGATCAAATCAGTTATCGCTTATATAACTGACTACATCATGAAAATCCCTCTGAAAATACACGTAATGTTTGAGACAGTCCGCAAGATATTCGATAGAAGTAAGACCCTTATCACCGGAACACGGACAGAATACAGAAAGGCCACATGTTGTTGACAAAAATTGTTAATGCTTTGACAGCTGGTGTGGAGATCAGTGGACCATTGGCCTGTTTGTATCTCTTGAAGCATAAAAATTACTACACAAACTACTCTTTTAATGTATGCATGTGGAAAAGTTTTATGAGAGAAGTATGTACAGCCTGGGAGGATGAGAATTCAACCACCGAAGCAAAGGTATTCACCAATCCAGAGGCTCCAGAAAAAGTCATATTGAGTCAAACTCAAGGCAAGTTTGTACTGCTCTCTGTCGTAGATGATTACATATATAGACCTTCTATCTTTAATGGAATGTGCCTGTACGATTGGATATGGTGAGCAAAGAAAGAGTCACAGAAGTTTGCAAATGATGCTTCTGATTGTGACTTGTCCTCAAAGTCTATATGACCATTCATCGATGATAAACAATCACTGGGTAAAGCAATCAATAATTTGAGGTGAAAGATGGTAAAAATATTGAGAAAAAAGTTCAAATCTTTTAAGCATCTTCACTGTCAATTTGTGATAAAAGTATTTAAAATATTTTTAACATCATTTGTTGTAAAAGATAATGAAAAGATTGAAAGGAGATTGCATGAAATATTAATAATCATTTCTTGAATCATTTTACAATCTTTCATATAAAACTATGATAAAAAGTTTTAAAATCTTTTTTCACTCTTTTTTAATCAAAGATAATGGAAATATTGTGACTATGTCACACCCTTGTTTTCATACACTAAGCTAGTACTAAGCTATACTAGTACTATAGTCAGAAGAGTAATATTAAGATTCTAATGTTGGCAGTATGCTAATACTAAGATTTAAATGCTAGTACTATGCTAGTACTATGCTAGTATTAAGGTCTAAAGATTAGTACTAGGCTAGTACTAAGGTCTGCAGATTAGTACTAAGGTTTGAAGGTTAGTACTATGCTAGCACTAAGCTAGTGCTAAAGTCCACTATGCTAGTACTATGCTAGTACTCAGGTCTGGAGGTTTGTACTAAGGTCTGAAGGCTAGTACTAAGATCTGAAGGTTAGTACTATGCTAGTACTAAAACCTGAAGGTTAGTACTATGCCAGTACTATGCTAGTACTAAGCTAGTGCTAACATTTAGAGGTCAATACTATGCTAGTACTAGCATTAGAGGTCAATACTATGCTAGTACTAGCATAGTACTAACATTTTGACTTTAGCACTAGCTTAGTGCTAGCATAGTACTAACCTTTGAACCTTGACAGTAATCTGCAGACCTTAGTACTAGCTTAGCGCTAACCTTCAAATCTTAATACTAGCATAGTACTAGCATTTAAATCTTAGTATTAGCACACTGCTAATATTAGAATCTTAATATTACTCTTCGAACTATAGTACTAGTATAGTGCTAATATATAAACCTGAGCATTAACCTCCATAACTTAGTACTAGCTTAGTATATGAAAACAAGGATGTGACATAGTCACAATATTTTCATCATCTTTGATCAAAAAAGAGTGAAAAAAGATTTTAAAACTTTTCATCATAGCTTTGTATGAAAGATTGTAAAATGATTGAAGAAATGATTATTAATATTTTATGCAATCTGCTTTCAACGTTTTCATCATCTTTCATAACAAAAGATGGTAAAAATATTTTAAATACTTTGATCACAAATTGACAGTGAAGATGCTTAAAAGATTTGAACTTTTTCTTTAATATTTTTACTGTCTTGCAACTCAAATTATTGATTGTTTCATCCAGTGAATGATGCCTAAAGCTTCAAGATGAAGAGGATGAACTTCTTCTCAGATCATTTTTACACAGAACGTCAGTTTGCAGCACGAGGGATGAAGAAAGCAAAGATGAGCTTGTGCTTGAAAAGGAAGAGAATGAAGAAAGCTCTTCTGAGGTGATCTACTCCGATGAAAAAGAAGGTTGTAAAGAACAGAGTGGTGGTGATGACGAGCTGCTGCTCATCTCTTATAATGCAAAGACATTTCAGGCAGATGAGAAGGCACATATTGCTGACTGTCAACTCGAACTTGCACACTTTTTACATGCTCACCTTCAATATCCATCCAAGGAAGTAAGGTTGCTGCCTGAGGATGAGAGCATGATTCCCAATTTCATTGGTGGTGCACTGCCTTGTAGAGACAGCAGCAACTGAGAGGAGTACTGCATGACTATGCTAACCTTATTCAAGCCCTGGAGGTCAGGACAAGACCTTAAACCTGATCATATGATGTCATGAAATGAGACGTTTGAGCAGCATCATTTTATCAACAGACAGAGACAAGTCATGGACTATATGCACATCAGATATGAGTGTAATGATGACAGAGACAATTTTGCAAAGTTATAAAAAGCAGACACAAAAATTGAGGGTATGCCATTTAGCATGAACAACAATGATATGGAGGCACTCGATGATGGTTATTGAAGACAAGATAATGCTGACGAAGTTACGGCAGACTATGATGTTCTAGACAATGTTTCTGAGTGGGATAACTTGGGAACTAAGGCTCAATTGCACTTGGCACACATGATGCACGCGAAAAATATCATGCACACTTCTGGATGGATGGACAATCTTCCAGAAGGCTGTGATGCTGTGGAAATGCATTTACCATCTACTGCATTTTGTGACAGAAAGGGACACACAGCTTTGGGGTGGTGATCACTTCTTGCTGATCGAAAGCAAGAAATCATACAGTCTCGGACTGATCAAGCAGTTGCAAACAATGTTGTTAACAAGGCAACTGGAGCTGCAGTAGAGAAATATGTAGATGTGGTCAAAGTGATTGACATGCTTTATCTGAAGAAGGGTTTCAAGGTGAAAGAGTAAAAAGACCAAAAGCTCATCGACGATACTAGCAGCCTCTTCAATCTAAATAAAGAACAGGAATGTGCATTCAGAATTGTTGCCAATCATGCCATGAATCTCAGTGGAGAACAGTTAAAGATGTACCTCAGTGGGATGGCAGAAACAGGTAAATCTCAGGTCATAAAGACATTGATTCACTTCTTCAATGAATGAAAAGAGGGTTATCGATTGCTCTGTATGGCTCTGACTGAATCTGCTGTCACTTTGATTGCCAGCTCAACATACCACTCTATACTAGGAATGAGCAAGTATACTTCAGAATCAGCTGTCAGCTTCCTTCAAGTGAGAGCGTGTCTTCAGTGTGTCGAGTATATTTTTTTAGATGAGGTGTCAATGGTAGACTGTCACAACTTGTACAAAATATGCTCGAGAATGTGCTCAGTGGTAAAAAATGAGGGAAAATCATTCAGAGGAATAAACATGATTTTTTCAGGAGACTTTGCACAGCTTTCCCCTGTGGGGTCAGGACATTCATTGTACTCTCATAAAGTAAGATCAGTACTGCACACCACCAGCAGTCATTTTGAATAAGAATCATTCACAGGCAAGGCACTTTGGCCCAGTTCACCACCATGGTGATTTTGAGAGAGAATATGAGGCAAAAGCAGCAAACCCCTGATGATGCAAAGATGCGAAAGGCTTTAGAAAATCTAAGATATAAGTCCTGTACCCAGGCAGACATACAGCATCTAAAAAGACATATAGCAGGTCATGCTGCAGACAAGCCAAAGTTGAATCAACTGAGATTCAGAAATGTCTCGATCATCATGGCCTGGAACGCTTACAGAGACAAAATAAATGAGCTTGGCTGTGCCCGCTTTGCCAGAGACAGGACGACAACTTATTACATTTTATTCTCAGGATGAGTGGAGATCAGATGCAGAGGAAAAGAGGAGAAAAACAAAACACGCTGCTGTAAATTCACAGAGGTCAACTAACGTGATAGATCCTGAGACACAACAGGTTTTGTAAAATCTCCTTCATGATTGCACTGATAACCATCTTGGTAAATTAACCCTATGCCTCAGCATGCCAGTCATGATTAGGACCAATGAGGCTACAGAGTGTTGTGTGACCAATGGTGCAGAGAGTGTAGTGGCTGGGTAGAAGGCAAGACCTCTGGAGGATAATAAGCTGGCCCTAGACACACTCTTTGTTCAGCTAACCTCTCCTCCTACACCTATCAAATTGGACGGGCTACTAGAAAATGTGATCTCCATAAGTCATCAGCCCATGAAAATCACTTGCATCATGCCAAATGATCAGATGATCACTATTGTAAGAGATCAGGTGACAGTCATACCCAATTTTGCAATGACCGACTTCACCTCTCAGGACCAGGCCCGACAATGTGTGTGATCTCCAAAACTGCAGGTCTCATCAGTCCATATACATGTGCCTTTCTAGGGGGATCAATATACAAAGGGACCATAATTGTTCAAGGCTTTGATGACCATAAACTGATGAAGGGCATCTCTGATTCACTCAGGCAAGAATTTAGAGACCTTGAACTTCTGGATGAGATCACAACCCTTCGATATAATAAGAAGTTGCCAGACATAGTTCAAGGCATAACCAGAAATCCTCTCATAGTATCCTATAGATCATGGAAAGGAACCCAGTACATCTTCAAAACAATGCACAGATCTCTTAAGTGGTCTAATGAAGACCCATACCCACTGAATGATCCAGAGCCTGACAGTCCCTGGCAAATTGTCAGTAAACCAACTAGACGTAGTGATGATGCAAAAAAAAACCTCACTAGCACAGGATAAACTGAAGGAACTTAAACCCGTGTATAAGCATCTGCCTGCTAAAAGAATAAAAGCTTTGCTCACTGTTAGCAATGACCAGGGTGAAAAAAAGAAAAAGCGCATGCGTGTCAGTGATGAAACAGGCCTCGATGACAAAAAGATGAGGACCGCTTCACCCCTTTCATTATACTCAAGCCCTGTCAGTTTTATATGGGATGAGAACAACTACAGTTGCGCATATGATAGCCTTTTCTCCATACTGCTCAAGGTGTTCACAGATTGTTCACAGCAATGGAATGATACTGTCAAGAACCAGAATGACTTTCTCCATAAGTTCACTAATGTCTTCACAAAGATACTCACTGGTAAACATTCTATGGAACATGCAAGAGATGCTATCCATGCAAAATTGCAAATCGCACATCCTGCGACATTTCCTGCCATGGAAAAAGAAGGCACGGACATCTACAGTTTGTGTTCTGCTATGTTTGAGCCTTCATCCTCCAACGTTACCGTCCATCTTCACTGCCTCCACTGCAATGTCAATGTAAATACAGAAAACACTTCCATTTATCTATGGAACTGCAGTTTGCCCATCTGGAGAGAATCCTCTGCTAAGTTAGGTTCCTCAAAAAAAACAGAAAGCTATCAGAGGGGCTGCAAGCTCTTTTTCTCAGAAAGACTCAGTTGTCATGCCAAACCTGCTGCACAAGACTAGTGAGAAGATATGTCTTTGTCAATACCTCAAACTTCATGGCATTCATAACGAATGGTAAGCAACTTCAGCTAGATCCTACGGTGTACATCGGTGAAGAAGGCACAAGATTTTGCTTGTGTGGTATTATTTATTTTGGTGGCTTTCATTTCACTGCAAGGATTATTGATATGAATGGTCAGACATGGTACAATGATGGAATTGTCACCAGTAATACTTCAACATTAGAAGATCCTCTCAAGATGGCACATCCTACTCTCCTCAGTAAAGCGCATCGTAGAGTTAGCTCTGTGGCAATCTACACTAAACTTTTCTGAATGTCTCACCTTCATTGTGCTGGTCTGAAGTTTACTACTAAGACCTTCTCAACTAGTAATATAATTTCCATTTGCTCATCTTCTTCGCCTGATCTCAATACCCATTTGACCTCATATCACTTTCTTGCACACATTTATGCACCATGAGTCAATCACTCCAGCAATGTGTATACTGCTCAAACTGTAGTTGTAAGTATCTTTGACAAACATTATTAAAAAAGCCCTTATAACTTTTTATGATCACTGATGTGACTGTTACAATCACCTTTGACAACATATAATTTTTAAAACACCTTACAACTTTTATCGTTACTGTCATGTAACTATGATTGTAATCATCTCCGATAAAAAAACATGCAAGTATGATTACAGTTCAACAAAAGCTAAAAGACAAGCTTAAACCATTTTATTTTCACTTCATTTGACAATCTATATAATTACGCATCTATGATTGTATTATCTTTACAAAATACTTGCACCTTTTAAAACTTTTTATCTTAACTTTTTCAAAAGCAATTATTTACCATCACTCTCACACAACCATGACTATAATCATCATTGACAATATAAAACTTTTATTATCACTGCATTCAAAATTTTCTACAATCATGCATCCATCTTATATTATCATTGAATGAATAATCACAATGTTTCATGTTTTCAACAGCAAGTTACACCATCACTCTCATATGACCATGACAAAAACTTCAACACTTTTATCATCACTCTCATGCAACCTTTACTATAATCATCTTCAACAACAGTTTTTCTAGCAACTTTAACCATTTGTATCATCACTCTGTTTAAATTATTCTTACAATATCAATTCTAATCATTACTTAATTCAAATTATTTTTACAATATTAAAGTTTTTTATATTCACTTTTTTAATAGCAAGTTTTTACCATCACTTTTATACAATCATCATCACATCATCATCTTTAACAACAGTTGTTTTTACATTTTCAAAACAATTTTGATCATCACTATTCATTTTTACAATTCTCAAAACTATCTACATTCACTTTTCAATAGCAAGTATTTACTCTCACCCTTATACAATCATGAGTATAATTACCTTTGATCACAGAAAAGTTTTAAAAAACTAAAACAATTTTGATTATCACTTTATTTGAATTGTCTTTATAATATCAATTTTTATCATTGCTCTATTGAAGTTATTTTGATAATCTTTAACATTTTTTACCTTCTTCTCAACAGCAAGTTTGTACCATCACTTATATACAATTATTATTATACAATAATCTTTAACAACAATTGTTTTAACAACTTTAACAATTTTTAGATTACTAACTCATGAACAACCATTTAATGATTCAATGGCATGTGTGAGGTTTTCAATGTCAGCAGCAGTGAAACTAGTGTTAAGCATAGCCAAAAGTTGGGCAAAGTATCACAGAAGCAGTAACATAGTGTCACATATGTTATGTTTACCTTCTCTCACCTTGTATCCATACAGACCATACAACGACCATCCCATCAAAATAGGGACATGGAACATAGCATCTTTGAGGCTGTGGCAGGTCAATGGTGAGTTCTGTCCTAGCAATAATTACACCATCAAACTTGACGACCTGTCTCTTCTTTGGAGGTGACTCCTTCAATGTAGCAACAGTTTGAGATCTGGATAGACCAGTGACTGGCTGATCAGGTGCTTCCTCGTTGAGCCTGAATCTAACTGTGTGACTCACCAGTGCCACTGCATGAGAGATGCATTGGCATGGATGGGTCATCGAGGGACTGGTCCATTGGATCGACCATAAGACCTAGTTCAAAATCATCTATAGAATCTCCTGCATTCTGAGTTTGTGATAGGAATCTAGAAAGTCAGTGTCACTGCATGAGGGATGCATTGGCATGCATGAGTCATGGAGGAATTGGTCCATTGAGGCATCTAGACTATACAATGGCCACCTCATCAAGATAGGGACCTGAGATAAGCATCTTTTGAGGCTGTAGCGGATTAATGTCACTGTACGAGAAATGCATTGACATGCAAGCAACCATGAGGATGGGAATACTTATAGTGAGGAGAGTGAAAGTCATTATAGAAGTTCAATAAGTATACCTCCATTGAGAATGATGCTTCTTTTTCCTCCTCAGCAAGAGGCTAAACTGTGGCTCATTTAAATGTGTTCTGCATGTGAACAGGGGGAGGCAGTGGGGTTATCAGCTTTCACTCATTGGCTGATCACCTTGAAATATGAATAGTCAGTGATCTTGAAGACCCAGGTGTAGCATTTCTATCACTCATCACTTTTAAGGGAGTGATTGATGCATGCTGCATCGACAATGAAGGGGTCAATTGAATCAAAGCCAGATGAGAAAAATCAGTGCCAATTATAGATGATGGTGCTGGAGTTGGGTCATCGAGGAACTGGTCCATTAGATTGACAATACGATCTAGGCCAAAATTATCTATAAAATCTTCTGCATCCTGAGTTTATAATCAACATGATCATGTTATGGGCCTAGAGGTAACAAGCATAATCAGTTGAGGCATCCAGACCATACAACAGCCACCCCATCAAGGTAGGGATCTGAGACTTTTTTTTTTTTTTGAACATTTATTCATACCCCACGCTATGTGCGTCCTGGTGACCCGAAGATACACGGAACATTGTAACTAAGAGCAAATCGCCAACAAGTGTGAAGGCGATATAGGGGAGGCAGTAAATGCAAAAATAAACCGGTCGCTCGGATAAACAACTACATGACAATGTCCACATCACTATCATGCACCTTCAAAGATGGGCCAGCGGTGGGAGAGCTGATCGCGCCTGCACCGAGTAGGTCAGTGTTGAGGGCAGTGGGAGGTCAGTACTCGGCCTGCTTTGGGCACTGGATCGAGTCTGCGTGGTGGAGACCACGACAGTTGATGCACCGCGAGTGCGGGCAAAGTTCGGAGGCAGCACGATTCTCCTTCGTACAAGAGGTGCATCAAGAACGATGCGAATCTTCATGATGACGGTCGGCACACATATGGCAGCAGAGCCGTCTGGTACACCCTTGGGAAAGGTGGCCATATGCCCAACACCTCGTACACTGTCGGAGATGCAGCTTCTCACGCCATCACGACGTAGTGACGGGTGCACCGAAAGCGAAGAGGGAGGTGTGGAGGATGGTGGCCAGAGCGGTGCCTTCCAGGTCCTCAAAGCCGAGTACGACGGACGAGCGGGCACCGTCGATGAGCTCAGGTCGACGTGCCCAGCGTGGAGGTTGGGTGATGGAGAGGCACTTGATGGCCAGATTCCTGAGGAGCTCCTCTGACAAGGCAGAGGAAGAGTGGACCTCGGCACTGGGGGAGGTCCTAGTGTACACGTTGTCGAGGAGGACGCACGACCACTTACTATCCCTGGAGATATTTTGGTCGGCGCTGATCCCCAAAGTGAGGCGAATGGTCGGGAGGTGAGCGTCGATGCAGGTGTGCGAGGTGGCAGGTGGGAAGACGAGAACGAGGTTGCCGGCGGTGCTGGGGTAGGCAGCTAGGGCGATGAGGCCCTCCACAGTCGGGATCAGTGCCAGGGCCCGGTTAACGTCGTTCAGCGTGACAGCAGGAGGGGTCGAGACGAGGCGTTCAGGCATCTTGCCCGAACATCGAACCACATACCTCACGGGCGCAGGAGCACGCTTAGGTGGCGGTGCGTGCTTGGGCTCAGGAGCCTTGGGGCGGGATGGAGGGTTCGGCGTACGCGCGGAATCAGCCGGGTGCGAGGAGGTGACTGCCGTCACATAAGACCGGGTACGGCTGACCTTTGTCTGAGGTGGGACTGGGGTGCGACTGACAGAAGCCAGCGCAGCAATGTCCTGACTCACGCGTACTTCGAGAGCGGTGAGCCGGGTTCCCAGGTCATTGCGAAGGGCAAGTATAGCAGCGGCGACTTCATCGACTGCAGGCGAAGGGGCTGGTGCAGTGGAGGGGGTCCGAAGTCGAGATGCCAGCATGTCGTAGAGGGCCGCATTAGCCAGTACGGATGCCAAGAGAGGGTCGGTGGGGTTGAGGCTGGCGAACCAGCCTGACACGTCGTCGAGGACCTTCAGGGCAAGTTCCAACTGGCTCACCATATTACCAGCGGGTGATTTGGAGGGTCTGCACAAGGTGACGAAAAGTTTGAGTGCATGATAGAAGGCGAGAACAGGAACATAAGGTGGAGGCACGATGGGCGCCGCAGGCGCCCGCATAGATGGTGGTGGTTGCGGTTCAAGAGGCATGTCTGAGACATAGCATCTTTGAGGCTGTGCATACTTATGACAAGGAGAGTGAAA